ACTAAGCATGGGTCAAAATCTACATAACATGGACATATATAGAACCTTTAAGATGATGAACAAAGTGAGATATTTACGGCTTGTTACTTTATACAATACATTAAGGGAAGTGTAATGAACATTGAACAGTGAAGATTGTCATTTAGAGATAACTAAGGGTAATCTAATTCAAGCTTTAGAAAAATAGAGAGGGAATATGAAATATACCTACAATGGGAAACTATTGTGATAAAAATACAGAATCACAAATTGGAGGCATGTAAGGATGTATAACTATATAAAGATGATGATGAGAATAGCTGGGAACTTTAACCAGATCTACATCTTGACCAAAATTAGGTTGGGGGGGGGGGTTGGTTTAAAAGCACAATAACTATATATGTATACTTTTTTGTTATATCACTTTTTTATTAAAAAAGAGGGGAAAAAATAAATATGCATATTGAAAAAGAATTATAAATACTATCAACATAAAAGGGAACTTGCTCAGAAGCTGAAAAACACCAAGTAAATGAGATGAAGAGTGGCAAGTAGAGGAGAAAGATAAGGGAAGAAGAGAGGGATGGGAGAGAGGGCAAAGGGAGGGGAGAAAAGGAGGAGAGAAACGAGGAGTGGTAAGGGGAGGGAGGAGAAGGAGAGAGGAAGGGGAAGTAGAGAAGGACAGAGGGAAGAAAGGAGGTAGGGAGGGGGAGGAGAGAGAAAGGAGAAAGTGATGGATAAAGCACAAATATGGTGTATCGAGAGCAGAAGAACCAATAATTGGTTTTGGGGAGTTGTTGGTAAGATGAATCGATGTAAACATTTAATAATACAATATGATGTTGGATATGTAATAGTATACATGTGATTATATGCTATGAAAATGGAAAAATAAAAAACCTTAATCAGGAAAAAAATGTTAATGCTGGTTGTGAAGGTGGTGCTATGCACTGGGTAGAGGTTAAGTTTGACCAGAAGTTGATCTGGTTGGTGTGTGCACTCCACATAAATGAGTTACTTCTATAACACTTAATCACAAAATTGAATGGGAAGACCTTGTCTAACAAATGGGCAGGTAAAATTCGCAACATGCTGGATACTGCAACAGAACTTGACACTAATCCTTCATTCGCTAGAGTTTCAATTGGTGACCCTCTCATTTCACTGAATGACAGCGTTGTAAAGAATCTCTCTACTGATCAACTATATGGATATAGGATCACACCAGTGGTGGGTTCCTAACCAGTTTACTACCGGTTCACTGAGTGCATGCACACAATTAAACAAATATTACTTAAAAAAAAGAAAACAGCTGAGGAGCGGCATTTCAATCTGCCACCCCGGATCAGCTGGGTTTCAGAAGGTAGAATAAAGATACGTATAACCCAAGAGTGAGCGGGTGGGCCCACTTTTTAAAAAAAAATGATTTGTTTGAAGACAGCATTACCGGTTCAGGAGAACCAGTCCAAACTGGTAGGAATCCACCTCTGGATCACACAGACAACTTCCCACAGATCTGGCTCTTCTAGAAATTGGCCCCATAAGCCATTCATGCTGGTTGACAACCGCAAATAGGCTTTATGGATTTCAAAACATGGCTTTAAAGGCCAAACTATCCAAAACTTAAGAATGTAAAACTTGGAATACATCATTGGTATGTACCATCCTTGCTGGTTCAATATCAAAGCAAAACATTCCTGGATTGAAGGACCTTGTTATGCGTTGTTCCAGCTGCAGCAAGTCAGACTGCAAAAGGCTGTAGTAGATGCCATTCATTCAGTACATAGCATGGTACACTTTCAATGAAATGATAATCCCGACAACAACCAAAAATTGTATTAGCTTTTTTGGCTGCTGCCGCAAACTGCCAGCTCATATTTAAGTGATTGTTCACTAGGACTCCAAAGTCATTCTCATAGTTGTTTTTGAGCCAGGTTTCATCTAATCTGTACTTGTGCCTAAGTGTAAAACCTTGCTTTTTTTCCACATTAAATTTCGTTTTGTGTGATAGGGTCCATTGTTCAAGTCTGTCAAGGTCTTTTTGGATCTTGAGCTTGTCTTCTGGGGTGTTGGCTATTCCTGCCAGTTAGTGTCATATGCAAATTTGATGAGTTCCCCATCTATTCCATCTAAGTCATTTATGAAGGTATTGAAAAGTATTGGGCCCAAGACGGAACTTTATGTACCCCACTGCTTATTTCCCTCCATACAGATGTAGTACGATTAAGGACTACTTGTTGAGTATGATTTGTCAGTCAGTTACAAATCCATCCTGTGGTGATGCAGTCTGTCCCACATTTTTCAGTTTACCAAAAAGTAGCTTGTATTACAATCTCTAGAACAATGCTGCAATCTAATTAGTTTCTCCTTTACAGCTTCTCTCATATTACAGTATTTATTGTCTACATGTTCACATTACATTAACATTTTTCAATAATTGTACATACTTTGAGTAATAACATTTCCTGATAATTTTGAGGTTCATACCTAACACGTATGCTCTGACCTCACTCGCAGTAAACCATACAGGAGGTATACCCTTATTACTCCTCTCAGATCTTCTTGGAATTATGTGTTCTTGTGTCACTGTTTCCAGTCTCTCCTCTTCTACATCTACGTCATCTGTGCTTTCATGTTTTATCATAGTTCTATCCTTTTCTACATCTCCATTTGACTCAATCTCATCCTCCGACAGATTAGAACTCTGTACTGGCATGAACACCTCATAATTAGCATGCATTTTGTTCCAGTTGTTCTGTTCTGCAAAAGTAGCAAATCTTGAGATCACTACTCACTGAGTACCATCTGTAAACCTGTACCCCTTCGTAAGCACAATTTGTTGAGTATATTGCATCAACCTTCTTTACATTGCATCTGCTTACCGTTTACAACCTTAATAGCTGGCAGCTATTAAATCCTCAGTACCTGACAATGGCATTCCCCAATGCACACAGATGCATTTATCTTGATAAGTGTTGACCCAGACGTATAATAATATTCCTTTCCAAAACTAATTATGTTTCTAGCCAGATACTTCTGTATGCTAATCTGTTCTGGGCCCCTTCCATCCGGTAATGAACACAGACACAGGCTTAGCTGTTTGCCACTCTTTATTCACAGCAATTATAATCCTGTTGGCTGAAAGCCCAGACACGACTCACTGGCAAGAAGTTGGCAGCAACCCAGACTCCAACAGACACGGGAACACAAGGCAGACCAGACAAGGAGTTCTCCAGATTACTACAAACGGTTGTGTCCTGCAAAAGGACTCTGTACTGTATATTTTACTAGTGATAAGTTCAGTGCATTTTCCAGGAAAATGGCTACATTTTGCACATAGTTATTGCTATCAAAAGTCATTGGATTTCATTAAAATTTGCCTAGTTCAATATTTGTAATATATCATTTTCTTCACTTATTATACTCATCTCTTCTTTTTAAATTTTCTTCTCAAGATAAACATTTAAACTGACAAATATATTAAACTACCAGTGGTATAAAGGAAATACACTTAGTTCTATTTTTATGGTAGGCATTGAGTCAATATTTTGTCATATATAGCTTTAAAATTTAATATATTTCAGTGTTTTAGCTTTATTTCTTTAGTTTATCTTTTCTCTGTGGTGAAGAAAAAGCTATTTGCTCCATTAAAAATGTCTAGCAGCAGAACAAAGAAGCAAGCAATTTTAATCAATTCATTTTCTCTCTTCCAAAGGTTGCAAGATTAGATATATAGGTTGTACTACACAAAAAATAATGTAGAATATGGTAAAGGAGTGGGATATCAACAAACATCACCTTACTCATGAATCTAGTATCAGAAAGCTCTGGATTGTATGTCACTGGATACAATTCCTTATCTATGCTTCTCTAACAAGCAATGCTGTGTTTTTCCCCATGCCAACTTTGAGAGATATTATGTAGTGTTAATCCTTTCTATTGGTATTTATTTGTTTGTTTGTTTGTTTATATCCTGCCTTTATTATTTTACAAATAACTCAAAGCTGCTACAATATACAACACATTTTCCTCATCCTATTTCCCCACAATAGTCCTGTGAGGTGAGCTGGGCTGAAAGAGGATGAATGGCCCAAGTTCACCCAGCTGGCTTTCATGTTAAGATGGAACTAGAACTCCTGATATCCTACTTTCTAGATTGGGTGCCTTAACCTTTAATGGCTTCCCTGGATGCCACCTTGTACTATGAGGAAGAGCCAGCTACGGGGACTTTGAAGTGGTGCACAGAGGAGCATCAGGAAGATCAGGAATGGATGGGCAAGAGGAGGAGAGGCCAGGAATTTTGGAGGATTGTTGGAGAAGCGACCAGATAAATACCTGGCTTAAGAGACAGAAAAGATATAGCTGCAAGCGGGAGGCTTGCCTGACCAGCAGAAGCATAGGGTAGAGAAGAGGCACTGCATATTTAATTAGCAGGGATGAGGAACTGCCTCCTCTGCTGGATCCCATGATGCACAGGGCAAAAGGGAGATGCAACAAAGGTCAGCAAACTACTTACAAGGAGACAGCCTCAATCCTCTTAAAGAGATGCACCAGCTGGTGGCTACTTAGCCTGGTGCATGGAGCAAAGCAATATTGGAGACAACCTGTCCATTTCCTGCAGAGCGTGTGCTTTGACTTTGTGACTCCTGCTTTCATGATTCCAAACCTATATGTTCTTTGCTGACCTCATGATTGGGTCTTGGATTTTGAACTTGGATTCTGGACTTAGAGCTTGGCTTTATCATGCTTGGACTTTGGACTTTGCCTAGACTTTGTACTTTGTGTGTGCTTTCTGAACTTGTGCTTTGCCATTGGAATTTTTATGTGCCTTTAATTTCATGTCTTGGTTATGCAAACTTGGACTTACTGGGACTTTGTTTCTTGTGAGTGAAACCTGGATAATTACTTTATAGAGACTTGCAGCGCCTCGATAAAGTTATTAAAACCCCTAGGGGGTTGCATGGACTGGGACAGGACATAATCATTAGACCAAACTGGCTGTGTTTGTATCCCTCTTGTTTTGCAATTTATGCTTTCTCTATGTTGACAATAGAAGAAAGTACAAAAATAGTTTTAAAAACGGAGCGCATTTTTTAAAGATATGTAGGAGAATATCTCTAAAAATGCCAGAAGGCAAGCTGAGTAAGTAAGAATCAGTAAGACATGTACTTCTTTATGATTGTGCTCACATCTAAAACACGACAAATCTTGTAAGCACTAATCAGTAAAATGTTCTGGCCTGATTTCATGTAATCTCTATCTCTTTCTGCTGCTTGTTTTTGTCCAGCTTTAATCCTTTAATTTAATTTTCATAAGACCTGAAAATGACTCAATGAAGAGAGTTGCATTGATGGTTTAGGTAAATTCCAGCAATTCTTATGTCATTTATTATAATTATATTCATTTATTTAGTTTTTTTTCAGGATAACAAGTTCTCATAGCACAATTTAGAAACAAAAAAAATAGTAATAAATATACAATGACCATAAAACATTCTGGGACCATTTTCACAGGACAGTACAGAGGAGCAGAAAAGAAGATTCTAGTACCTTCTCCTCTCTTTTCAGGGATGCAGAAGGCAGGTGGTAATAGCCAGGGTAGTAAAAATAGCTGTAGTTAAGAGTAGCATAATGACTGTTATTGTCCCAAGATTGCGAAACGAATTCCATTTACTTCAGTTTCAATATTTTTGAAATACGTGTCACATATACTTACATTAATGTATTTATCACTTTAGTTTCTTGGATTACATTATATTATTTGCTTGAATTATCTTTTTTTTTGTTCTGCTAATTATACACAGGTCTGTAAAAAAAAAATCGAGAGCTGTTTTGGTTATTCCACGTAATCTTTGTTTTTGGGTGTGCTGAATCTGAAAATGACCTCCATTTTGTCGTAGGACATCACATTTCCTGACAATTTAGGTAACTATGTTAAATAAGGCAATACCTCAAAATAAATGGAAACAGACTTATAAAATTAAAGTTTTATNCCCCACTTGGAACTGAACCCAGAAGGACATTTCTTCCAACAGCTGCTACTCCAGAAAGAATTGGTCGTCTAATAGCCTGTACTTTGTGTATATTTATATTTTTTTGCTCTTGGGCTGCCATAACAGTGGGATTTCAAGACATTCTGCACAGTATTATATATTTGAGATTGAACTCAAACCCTGTTCTTAAGAGGAAATCCATTTAAATACAATCAAATATCACAATGTATTGTTAGTCATGATTAGATTCCATTTAAATTAACATGAATCATGACTAACAAGACTAATAAATCCTATGATTTCAAAAAAATTCAAAAGACTCAGTCTGATCCTAATCCTTAAATCATTTGCTTTTCTATCCCTTTCCCTTTTTAAAAGTTATCCCTATTATAACTCTGCAATTTGAAAAACCAAAAAGAAGAGGTAACAACGAAAAATGAAAAATTATTTTAAGACGTATGGGGGGGTAATCTGTAACCCATTTCCAGGTACATAGAAATCATAAAATCAGGCAAACTGTGTTATGGAATCTATTCTCTTCCTTAGTTAATTAGGAATTATCACAAAAAAAAGTCTGCCAAAAAAAGTCTAATCACTAACCTACATATAGGACCTGCAGATATTCATGATATTGTTTGGATATGTGAGTGTACCAGTTGTTACAATTATAATTATTGAGTTTCTGCTACAGCTTTTTTGCGGTCTCCCATTAGTATGTCATCAACAGTGGGGAAAACATCTATTTAGCATTGGCACCTGGGCAGATATGGGATACATCTGACTAGATTCCACCTCTTCATTTTTAGGCGAGCTTGGAAACTTCTCCTCCTGTCTGCCACCCCAAAACATGAGCAGAGGACTTTTAAAGCAATAAACACACAAGTGAGGTTAAAAACAGAAGTGTTTATTAAGCAAAGCAGAGCAACACAATAACTTGAACTGGAAAACATCATCTAAACATACATATCTATAGCCAAGGAAATAAAACAAGGACTGGTAACTTTCAATACAGGCGTGTAAATACATGATAAAATCTCACATCACTTTAATAGCCAGAAGGACCTCATCCTCATTGAAGTCCACAGCTACAGATGACCTCCAGATTAGTTCAGTAACTATTGTAGGAAAGCACCCCCCATCCCAAGAATAAAATATTATTTATCCTTAATATTTTTTTAAAGGTAGAATAGAATACTTCTCCCAAAGGAGAGTAGGAGAGACATCTTCTTAAAGGCAGAAAGTAGCCCCTGTATTCCTGGTATAGGAAAACAACCTCAAGCAGGAGCATGAAGAAGCTAGTCTTTAAGAATAGAGATTTTGGATAGAGATTTTGTACAGAGAAAATAAGAGATTTTGTATCCATTCAGAAAGACTGTGGCCCAGTCTATTCATAAGCAAAGAGCAACTAGAAATTCCAAATAAGCAACACAATAGGCACCGAGCCAAAGCTGACAAGATTAACTCAGACAAACAAAAACCCTAGGATTTGTATTTCCTCTTTCGCCTGCAGAGCCAGCCATGATCCCTACATGACCCCATAGGAATCTGGCCACAGCCTTTAAAATATTAAAGGACATATTTTGTGAAAGTTCTGAGATCATGCTGTGCTCATATCAGAGGTGGTATTCACGTACTTCCCCTACCGGTTCGCAAATGTAAGTGCATGGCCTTCCGCGCACGTGCTTTAGCTTGAAAATGTGCCTAAATGGGATGGCAACTGGGGAGTGTGGGCAGGGCAGGCCCACCCGTGATTTCCACTACCAGTTCA